ATTTTTCCATTACTAGTACTTGTCTCGGGGTAAAACATGCAATGGTGAGCCCATGTGACTCGCTTAAATATGTTATTAAAGTCCAGCGAGTGAGAATGGAACTCTTGCTGGGTGTATTGACCATTCGTGACATGACCCTCTCTTTTGCTAATTTTTTATTGTTTATTTTATTTAGAAGGAAACATTTTAAAAAAAAAAAGAGAGATAAAATTCGTTAATTGATTTGTTTGGTTACATTTGTAATATATGAAATCCATCAATTATGAGAAGCATTATTATTATAGCAACAAGTAGCAAACAACAATGAATCATCATTTTTTTGAAGATGACAATAAAGATTAAGATCCGATTTTGTCTCATGAAAATACTCAAGTTTTTCAAAAAAACGGCTGTCCTATTTATATGTTTTGGGTTCACAAAATAGACTACTGTGCTTGGCTCGAGTGATATCATTTTTTTGCTCTTTGCGACGAAGAAGATGCAATCCCAAAATAAATGAATTTTTGTTCTCGCGTAACATGGTGTGTATAATTTGTAACACGAAAACCATAATCATATGATATGATGAATGTGAAGTGATAAATAACTGAATCAACAACAATTAATTTACCATCGTCCGTCCGTCAATCATGTTTTATTATTATATGAAGTTTGATTTAACTGGCTGTAATATGAACAATTGAATATAAACCACTTTTTTTGCATATAGGAAGGAAACCAATTAATTGAAGGGATTGAAATCAATGCAAAAGGAAATTTAATTTTTTTTATTTATAATTTAATTAATATATATATATATCTATATATACATATGCATTATTTGTTCTAATAATAATAAAAACACTAATTTTTTTATAATAAGATTTAACAGATCCCCATTCATTCTGATAGACTTCTTGTGATTTTTGAAGTTTATTATTAGTTCAAGGTCTTTTTTTTTTATGTCTATTACCATTATTAATTCCTTCATATTTTCTTTTGTGTTCAATAGATCTACTATGTTCATTCTGGCATGTTTCTTGTGATTTTTGATCTTTGCATTTATCATCATCAACAAATAAATTTATATTTTCTTCACATACCCAGACCTTGTTGTGTTCTGCCATAATTTGTTCAAAAAATGAAGTATGTTTGGTATTAAGATGATTCTCCATATCTTTTGGTGAATAATGACGAATACTTTCTTCACAATCTAACAACATGCAACTAAAAATTGGTGCTTTGATACCCATAATAATTGCAGATTTTATTGTAATAATGTTTCCTTCAGGGAAATGAGAATCAAGATTTTTTGCTTCTTTTTCTAATGCTGGTACTAGTTGATTTTTAAGGTATTTCTCGGAATAAATAGTGTAGGCACAACCTCTACATATTGGTGGGTCCTTGTAATTACGGCAATGTTGAAGAATTATATAGGGATCAATTTGAGAGTCTCTAAGAGGATTAGCTATCTCTTCAGAGAATGTTTTAACAACTTGTTTATTAGGTCCAAGGCGAGGCCAATTTTTTAACAAGTATTTCAATATAAGTTCCTGTCGGTTTGGCTTTTCTGCTTCATAGATTATTTGACTTTTTAATCTTCCCCGGTACCATTCTGAAAGTTGTTTCTCAACCTCAGCAAAACGGAAAATTGCTCTTTTGTATGAAGTGAAATGGGATTGAATATAATGAGATTCATAGTTTAATGTTAATTCCCCTTCCTCAATAATTCCATCAACAAGCTTGTTGATTCTCTCAATAAATATTTTTGATTTTTTCATATACAAACTGCATTCTTTATTGCGATCCTCACATTCTTCCATGAAATTTTTTTGAACCTCAAGCATTTTTTTATCTTCGTCATCATAAGTTTCAACAGGTTTTAGTCCATATTTTACAACATAAGAATGTTTCTCAATAATATCTTTTCGCCAGAACTGTACCTCCGTTCCACCTTTCATAAGTGTATAAGGTAATCCTATATAGAAATCATTACCTCTAATAATCTTTTCTCTGAAATTGTTAAATAAATAAATGAATAAATATGATTATTTAATCAATGAAACTTTATGTAATTACTTACTCTCTTATAGTGGTTCTTGCATCGTAACATTTAGCACAGCATCTTACACGAAACTGCCAATGTACTTCAGTTGATTCAATAATACCACAAAACATGCAGGGTTGAGGTGAAGCAACAAAGAATCTAATATATTCTAATTCAGTCCAGTTTGGCGGGGGCGGTCTTTGCAGTCCTTCAAGATAAGTTGTTCTTGCTATTTTCCAAATTCGTTGGGTTCCATCACATTTATCCATTAAGATAAAATAGAATCTTGAACACGTTTCCACCAGTGCCAACAAATTGGATGGTGGTAAATATTCACAAATCTGGATGAATATTTCAAGAGGAACGTTTGAGAAAGGTGCCCATTGTTTTTTTCTGATGGGATATTTATAATATTCATCACCATCGTCAAAACTCACACTATAATAATAATAAATAAATAAATAAACAAATAAATAAAACAAAAATAAATAAATAACTAGAGTAACGACGAGTGGCAATAACCACAACCATTCTTAAAACACTTATCCAGCGATCTCGGCTGTTTCTTTTGATTGTTTTCTTTTTCTTTTTGGTTTTAGAATCAATAGACATTTTTGCAAAAAAAAAAAAGTTCGTGATTTGATCGACGTGTAAACATTAATTATTTATCCTATTGGTGGGAGGACAGACGTGAATTTTTTTTTTTTTTTTGGAACAATTTATTTTTTGACAAAGTCCAAGGTGACAAAACGTGAGTGTTGTTGTTTGGTTTGGTTTGGGTCTCCTAAAGAAAACGTGTTAATAACTAACCAGAGGTACTATTTTTTACTTGTATTGATTTGTATGAGGTGTCTTTTATTTTAGTTTATAAATATTTTAATTGGAATCAAAACGCGGAGCAGATCTTGCTGGGCAATTACAAGATTTTCATTGATAATATTTTGCTTTTCGTAATCGTTAATAATATTAATATTACTATATAATTACAAGAAGATGTCAAGGCGGCATGACTGACTGTTACAGAAGAAACATTTTGAATATGCAATGTTTGATTATCGGGAATTTACAGGTGTTGAAGCACGAACGCACGTTACCTTGAACACTTTACAGTCATTCTCTCATCTTCCTCGTGTACATAAGACTAATTTGACTTGATCCCCCGATGATACAATGATGCTACAGAATTCCAGGGGGCGGGGAGCAATGCCCTGGAGTTTACTGAGACTGCATCAATTGTCAATGACGCTTTCACTAATCTTCCCTTACAACACCCAGACCAGAGACGGCTGCCATGTTAGACGAAAAGTTGCCTGCAACGACCCTACCTCTAGGGCAAGGGTGGCTCTGTGACCAAGTCGCAACTCTGCTGATGAATTGTAGTGCCATGTAAATATCCAGATCCATCAAAGCAAAGAGAATCTGCAGCTCGTTTCAAGCACAGGAGGTCACAATTCAGAGCAGGGTTGGTGGCGCTGAAATTGCATTGGGCTCTGATGTTAAGAGGAAAGTTGTAAAATAGTGTTTTTTTGTATAATCATTTTCATAAATTCTCTGTTTCTCTTTAATTTTTGTTGACCAACTGAATTTGTTGTTTTTTTAAATGGAAACTTTTTCCCATATAACCTCCTACCTTAGGTTAAAGGATTGTAGCTCATTGAGAGCATGTATCTCACAAGTATAAAGGTGGCAGTTTGATTCTGCCCACTCCTATTGTGATAGTCACCATGATCACTGGCATCAAGGAGAAAGCAGTCAAATAAAATGGTTTGGATTTTGGTATGTTGTAAATTAATCATTTTCTGCTTCTCTTTAATTTTTATTTGACCAACTGAACTTGTTATTTAAATGGGGGTAGGGTTGTTGGTGAGTTGGTGTGCCGCTGACAAGACAGCAACCCAGGACTCAAAACTCTGAATTCAGGGAAAATCCAAAACAACAACCCAGGTTGTAACTTCCTGAGTTGGAGAATTTTGAACCAATTGCAGATGCCAACTTTGTTCTAGAGGGGTATAACACAATGCAATCATCACACAAATGCCAGCTATCAGCAATCAACGCCCATATGGTAACATCTAGCCTGGACTGAGAGGAAGATAGGGAATGTTTTGTCCAAAGCCTACCAACTTGTTCAATTGTTTCACCTGTGGGAGAAATTACGCAGTTATGAGGCGTGTGAAAGCACAACGCTTGCTTGTTGGTGATAGGAAAATTTTAACTAAATCTGACACCTGTGATCAACATCAGATTTATCATTCATAAGGAACCATAATTGATAATCAGGAAAAGTAATTTATTCTTGTGAACCCGAGAGATCTGGGTAGACATGCATTATTAAAGTTTCATTCATGCATGGCCTTGGTATTATCATTACCTGGGTGATTTTATTTCGAGTTATAGGTGGCCTGCACCATACTATATAAATATATAAAAGATATAGAATATGATAATCAATTCCACTATCTGCTTTTCAATACCTCTTTTCAGAATTGGTAAATAGAGCATTATCTGCCAAATGACCACTTAGTAATGGATATATATAATCAACACAACATGCCAGAACCGGGTTTCTATTTTAATCAAATGTATTGGTTATTATTATCTATTTATTTTTAAACTGTATCAAAAGATTACAAAAAAATTTTATTTAAAGAAGGAAAAAAAATCTTTGCTGGTGTAGTTTAATCGGAAAATTTACCATTCAAGTTAAAAGCAAACATCATGACATGGTATTAATTAGCCTCTGGCCAAGCTGAAACCAATTGACAATGCGGTATCTACATTTGATCCATGATGAGGATTCTTAGTATTGTGTGCGTGAGTTTTGATGGTGTTAGTTGAAGGAATTTTTCTTTATATTTTTTTTGTTGACGTTATAATAGGTATGTATATCTTGTGCAAAAAAATTTGTATTTCTTAGTTTCTAGACTTGTTTGTAGAAATGAATGAGTAACACGTTGAATATTTTAGCTAGGACATGATTTGTTTTTTCAGCAGCTATGTTCTTGAAAGAATTCAGAATATTGTAAGTGAAAATTATTATTATTGTTTTTTTATTAAAAATTAATTACTTGATTTCTTTTTACTGCTTATACGAGTAGTTTCTTCCATAATCAATTATGATGATGATGACGATATTTTATTTTTAATGCTGGTATAAGTATGAGCAGTAGCTACTTCTACCATTACTTGTATATTTAATAAAAACACGGATATAGATGTTGACGATGGTGGTGCTTTATTGTTTCTCTTGTACAAATATGAATATGAGTTTAAATAATTTCATTTACAATCATTTTGTGTATTTGATGATAATGTTTTCCAACATTTTATTTTAAGAGGAAGATTAATGATTACATATAACATTCCTTGTACATATGAAGGCTATAGTGATGATAATGGCAATGGTAATGATTATGAGATTTTATTTCACAATACCTATTTAATACGATGAGCATTAATGAGCATTAGTACAATTCACTTTCTATAAAAATCCCAATCAAGGAAACAATAGGCCATATGTACATGGGGGGTTCAAACAGTTTTGTCACAGGACCTGTAACTTTATAACCTTGAATTAAATTAATCTGAATTCTTTTTTAAATAAAAGGCCTATTTCTCCTCTTTCAAATAAAAAATCGTTTGTTTTTTATAATTCATTGATTACTAAAATGATAATTTTCAAAGATTGTCAATAAAATCAACTGAAATTTTTTGTTACAAAGTCATATAACTTTATGATTTTAAATCTTTCAAACAAAAAAAGGTTTAAATTTTTTGGTATGTTAGTTACTAAGATATTAAATTTTAAAAATATCCAATAAAAAATATTTTAGTGTGAGGAACCCATTTTGCACATACCTTCCTGACAGAAATTTCTCTATGTAAGATGATTTCAATGCTGAATACAGTCAAACCTCAATAAGCCAAACTTTTGGAAATCACAAAAATAGGATCGGCTTATCAAAATTCGGTTTATGATACAAACAGGGCTGGCAGCATAAAGGGTTAAAAACCTAATTTAGTAATAATCATCTTGACTAAACATGTGACTAAATAGTTTAGTCAGTTTAGCTAAATGCTCATTTGAGTTACGCAGCCCTAGATACAAAATGATTTTTATTGATTGTTCGGCTTACAATGTTATAATATCCTTGTCTTTTTATTAGAACTTGACATGGTAAGTAGAATTGTTGGGTATCGATCATTTTTAAACTGAATTTTATCATTATAAGATGAATTTTAAAACCAGTTTATGATCATATTCGGCTTAGAAAGTTATATTTTTATTATTTTGTACAAACCATTAAGTTCGGTTTATCAAGTAAAGTAAAAATTATAATAAAATTCAGCTTAACGAAATAATTTTTATTAAATATGATTTGGTTAGCCAATTTTGCATCGTTATAAAGCGGAAATCGATTTTTTGACTGTATTATTAATTGTAATATGGGGTAGTCATTTATAAGGTAAGGTCTTCAATAATATTAATGTTTGAAGGTGTGACAGCATTGCGGGGATGTCAAATGTCTCGGTCCAGTGCCTTGTCACCTTTAGCAGTGACCAACTCCCTATGAATGTCGGTAGCATCTTTACCACTCTTCCAGCACACCCAGATGTAGTATCATTGGTTTTCACGTGTAGTATTTTCCATTATTGTTAATAGGCAATATTGAAAAGATTATTTCTCCACAATTGTCAAATCCAAATTTTTTATTGCAAAATGATTATTCTCAAAATGGGAAACATTTGAGGGTCATCAAGATAATTGCACAATGTCAAAACTTTTTGAACCCCCCATGTATAGCTGATCCTATCTACAAAATACAAAAAGAATGTAATGTAGTATTTCTGAATGACATCTATTTGATGTAAAATGGGTAAGATCTCTAATTCAAAAATATTCCAAAAGAGTCATACATGTGATGGATTGCTTTTTTTACATCATGGACCTTTTCTAAAGAAAAGCCCCATTAATTATATGCTAATAACTTAATATTTAATTCGGGTCTAATTCACATTACATTGATTCATAACAAATGTTGATAAAGATTTATGTTAATAAAAAAATCCCAGGTAACTATATATTTTTAATAAATTTGTTAGTCCATTTTTTCTAAAAAAGATTTGTTGATTCAATTTTTATTTATTTTCATTTTTGATGGTTGGGCCCTTTCCAATTATTCCTTAAAGCTTTCGACTCAATCTTACAGTGTCTAATTATTTTGGTCAAAGTTGCAACTGTCCAAAAATATAATGCCAAAAAATCAAACTAAATCCAATGTATTTGTTGAATATTTTTGATTAATTGCTGTAATATTTTCAAGTACATCAGATTTTGACAAGTTTGACTAATTAAATCAAAGAAGCTCTTCTAAATATTCTTTGTCATTTGGTTTACCGTTAATGTTCAAAACTTCAAGAGTTCTTTTTAATGAAAACGGTCAAGCCTGATAAAAATGGCCAATAACCAAGAATATTTAAATGTAAAAATTCAATATTTGGAAATAAAATTTTCAAACTGATATGATAATCTTGAGGTTCTCAGGTTTTGAAATGTTGGTATCAATAAAGAGTTTGAATGTATCCTCCTGCGCTACTATTGATTTTGAATGTTTCTTTGAGATCTGAATTCAGTTCCATTCTTTAATTTTGATTGTAATTAGCTATAATTAATTTGATCATCAACCTCTTCTAAATGAATTCCCTTGTGGTTGATTTTAAATTCCAATAATTTTGCTAATTTATCAGAAAAATCGAGAAAAGCATAAGAATAAAAATGTAAATAAAGATTTTGAAAACAATTATTAAATATACATGATGCAAAATCAATTCTCAAGCCTTTTGATAGTTGCATAATTTGAAATAAAGCCCAGCGATCTTTTTTTGTAAAACTCAATTCTTCATGAACAACTATCAACCATCTAAACCTTTCAAAGTATAATTCAGTCGTAAACCTGGAATGATTATATACTCCAACTTAATTTAATGTCATGTAAATTCTTATCTTCTACCAATAAACAATTAATTAATATATTTTGATGGATTTCTCCACAAAGTTGAATATTGGTATTGTGCCATTTCCTGTACAGTGTTTTACATTCATAGTCTTCAATGTATTTAAAGTTAAAAGGTGGTGGGCGACATTTATTTTTTTAAAAAAAAAATAATTTGTGCAATTTTATTTAATTACATATATTATTATTATATAAACATATATTCACCCGACCAATTAAAATCTAAAAAAAAATAAAAAAATCTAACAATGAATTTTTTTGTCTTCATAATAACTTTAGGTAAATTCACATTTTAAAAATCCTAAATCTTGGTATTTTTTTAATATATTTGTTGTTCGATCTCTTTTATCTCTTTCATAACCTCTCATTAATGCTGCTAGTGTTATCTTTAAAGGTTTAGGTCCTTTCCAATTCTCCATCAGAGTATCTAAAAATTTTTCACTATCAAAGTTAACATAATGTTTAAAATCCAACATATTTAAATTTATTGGCAACGTTTGTATTAAAGCACCCAAAATTCTATTGACATCCCATGTGGGTTTTGTTACCTCAATTGTAATAAATTTAATGTATTTTAATTTAACACAATTGTTGAATATCAATTCAATCAATTTTTGGTTTATTTTGTTATAATAAAATGTTGATAAGTATTCTAAATTTCTGCAACATTGTCCAATTGACAGTAACAGTTCTCCCAAATTTTTCTTCTCGCCAAAGACACTTACTTCGCCATCAATATCTAGAAGTTTAAGAGTTTTTCCATTGATTTTGATGAAATCAGACAAGTCTATTAGAGATAGCTTGCGATCGATTTTTAAATATAAATATTCAATTTTTGGTAATAAAACAGATTTTAAATATTTTAAACTGGTGTCATTATAAAACAATGATAATCTTAAAATCTTTAAGTTTTGAAACTTTGGTATCAATAAATTGTTTGAAATATTTTTTCCATTGCTTTTATAATCAATTATTGAATTTGAATGAAGCAATAATGCGCCTTTGAGATCATCCGATAAACTTGTTATATTGTTATGTGAATAGATGTCCAATTTTTTAATTTGTTTTTGTGCTCTAATTAGTTGAACCAGATAAAAGATAATATTATGATCGTAGATTCCTTCGTAATCTATTTTTAAAACTTTAATGTTTTTACATGTATTTGCTAATTTATTAAGAAGCTCATATTTTTTAAAAAATTGGCAATCTAATTCGTAAAGGTTTTGAAAGCATGTATCGAATCTATGATAATCAATTGGCCATTGACAATCAAAGCCTTTTCCTTCAAACTTTTTGATAGATCCTGCATGGTCTAAAATAAATTCTATTAATCTTTTTCCTAAACAGCTAGCCATTAGTTTCTTATATTTAGGGTAGCGAAACCCAAAACATAATTCAGTTGTAAACTTGGCATAATTGTGTAATGGTGTTTTTTTCAACAGTTTAAATTTTAATTTAATATTATGTTCTGCCAAGAATTTCTTGTCTTCTGCCAATAAGCAATTAATTAATATTTCCATACTTCCATAAGAGTGGAATGGATTTTTCCATAAGAATGGAATATTGATATTATGCCATTGTTTATTAATTAGAATGCAAGAATAGAACGTATGTTTCTTGTCAATATAATTAGATATCTCTAGTAAAATTTCAGGTGGTAAATTAAACATTTTTTTTCAAAGAAAGAGAGAACATTGATATTTTTTTTACCAATTCAATTTTCGATAAACCAATTAGATTTAAACAAAAATGTGATTAAAAAAAACATGATGCAACAATTGTACTACAAATACGATAGGGGGCATGCTCAAATTAACATTGTACAGGGATCAAAATTTAATAATGTGATTTATTAGTATTAGTATTCATAATAATACTGTAATAAAAACAACAAATCACAAAATAGGATCGGCTTATCAAAAATTACAGTCAAATCTCGATAGGCCGATTTTCTCTTTATAACGATGCAAATTATCTTGTTAAGCCAAATTTTAATATGATTTGATAAACCGAACTTAAAGATTTGATGTTGACCAATTTAAAATTCGTTTTATAATGATAAAATTTTATAATTACCTTAAAAGCAAATAATAGTAATACTGTATACACTTGATATATCATCATAATAATAATAATAAACCAAATTTTGATAAGCCGATCCTATTTTTGTGATTCCAAAAGTCTGGCTTATCAGGATTTGACCGTAATTGAGAAACTCATTATATCAGAACAAGGTGAAAAAATTGCTCAAAATAAATGATACCTTGCTCAATAATAATTCGTATCTCTGACCCCTTAATTTGAATATTCATAATTATATATATATAGTACAATTTATTATTATTACCTGTTTATTATTATTATTATTCGAATTATTCGTAAAACAAAACAATTTAATTTTCAAGTTATCCCATTTCATTGAGTTACTCGTTTCCTTGAATCGACTATTTTATTTGTCCTTTATTCATTTTATTTGAAATATCCAAATGTTCCCCTTTCACTATCATTATACAAAGTTATATTTAAACATTTAAATTATTTTTATTTTTATTATTATCATTATTGTTTGAATAAAATTTGATTTATTTTATTCGAATAGAAACCACATAATGCTTTCGAATACTTATATAATATATAAACCATTTGGACATTGTAAAAAAGCAGGCATTTCTACTTGACAAATCCAATTAGCTCCCTCTTCGATAAATGATCCCAAATAAAACTTTCTCTGGTTTTCCATGTTTTATCAATATTATTATTGGTCATTTTTTTTTATTTGTGAAAGTTTGTTACAAATATTCAAAAGTATTTACAATATTCGAAAGTGTTTACGAATATTCGAATAAGAAAAATTAAAAAAATTATTTGGCTCTTTCACTTATATTTTTTTTATTTCTCTTTATTCCGTGATTTATTAACATTTATTTTATTTTTACAGATTAAAAAAACCATTCCAATGAACAATGTATTGCGCACTTTATACATTTGGTTTGTTCCTATATATATAAAACTAAAAAAAAAAATTATTATATCTAAAATATAATTATATTTTATATCATATACACTCGTCTTCTTCATCTGGTATCCATAATGGTGACGGCAATGCATGTAGTGATGATGATGCTCGCGATTGTGATAATGTTAATTATATCTATAAATATAAATATAAAAAAATTAAATATAATATTATATCTATTATTGATGTTTCAGTTTACACTTACGGTTCGATGACATTTCCTTGAATCTGGTCCGGTACTATAATTTATGCGTTTTTTAGGACGAAGATTGCAATGAGCTGCATAATTATTGCATCATTATTTATTTCTATTATTGTTTGTAATATGAGATTTTTGTTTTAATTATGGAAGGGGACACTACCTGCCTGAATACACCAGTCTCTAACATTAATACAGTTTTTATCTTGACTCATCCAAATCCTTTCTACAAAACGATGTCGCCCCGTGTTCTCATTTTTATTGAATAATTTCCTCAATGCTATTATTTTTGGTATGTGCTTTTAACTCAATTGAAGTATCATCATTGCACACAGGAAGACTATCGTCAATAAAAGCTGCATTCTCGGTATATAATACTGATTCGAAGTATTGTTATTATCACCACCAGATATCATTATATTACGAGGAATGAATGAGGATTCATAAAGTGCCTTATGATTTTCGGAATGTGATTTTAATCCACTTGAAGTATCATTATTGTTTTGACTGTCACGTTCAGATTTTGATAACCAACCTTTATAATTAATATAACCATTAGCATCATTTTTCTATTACTGTAAATATATTTCATTAATTTGACAAGCTCACCATAATATTTTTTTATTAAATCATCTAAATCGCCTACTATATAAGATATTAACGTCATGAACCTTTAATAATTGTATAAATACATTATTCCGAATATTAACAAGTGAATTATTTAAAAATGAAGTTGTGCTAATTAAATACAAAAGAAATTTAATACCAAGTTACAATGACCACGCCATTCTTTTTAAATAACTAGAATGACAACTAGTTGTAATGTTTTGACATCGCATAAAAAAAAGAGTTTGTTATTTGATCGGCAAATGCTATTATTAATATTAATTATATATATACACACGCATCGTACGAGTACAAACAAATTGTTTTTTACAAGATTGGAGAATGTGTTGTATTTCTTTTTTTTTTTTTTTATTGTTTTATAATCAAAACATGGAGCAGAACTTGTTGTGTTTTGGGTGATTATATTATTCTTATGATAATAAACGATTGTTATCGTTTTTACTTTTTGTATAATCATTATTAATATTAACACTAATATTAATTATACGGCATCTGAGTGATAGCCATAATTAAAAGCCGTAATGTCGTTATTAGGTCGTAATGTCATAATATAGACCAAATCTAATAATCAATGTATGTAATCCTAAAAGAAATCTGAAGACAATGTTATGCAACTTCCAAAATATGTATAGTTAAGTTTGAATTAACTTTTGAGCTACATTAATTGATTAATTTAATTGCAAGCTTTTATGTTCAATGCTCATCAATTAACTTTGTTTTACGAATTTGCTGCCTCTCTTTCTTGCACCTAGAGAACTTCAGCGAATCTGTAAGCACACTTTTATGGTAGAATCAACAACAAATAAAGCACGGCCCTGCTATAAAGCAATGAATGTTTTAGTGAAGTTCCTTGCTTATTTACTTTTACTTTTCTTTGGCTGATCAAATTCGGCCGTACATTTGCAAGATACCTTAACACAATATAACAAAGCGATATGTGATAATGACTTTGGTTAATAAATGTCAGCACTTTATATCTGGCAGAACAATCTTAACAAATACATTTAAATTCTTTTACAAAAATAAAAATATTTATGCTTAACAAAAACCAAAAATTAAACCTTTGCTTTCTACCAAAGCAAATAACCAAAATTGAGTTTCAAAACCTCAGAGTTCTATATGTAGTTTCTATTCGAATAAGGTTTATTCGGATTATTTGATTTATTCGTTATGAGTATTCAAATTACATTGAAAGTTTATTCGAATAAAACGAAAAATTCAAATAAGAACCTGCATTACGAACAGAAACTCTAGTTTTATATCACTCTGAACTCTACTGTTTAATTTCCGACTAAAAAGTGTTTTATTAAACAAAAGAATTAATTTGTTTATTGTTTAATTTGTAAAAATGTTTGTTACATAAATTAAAAACTTTCTGCCTCTGAAATATTAGTCAATTAGTAGATAATAGTCATTAGTAATTTTCCGCTTGTCAAAAATTATGATTAATTTTTAAAAAATTACCATTCCACTCGCTAATTTAAAAAACTTTCTTTGGGCAATCTTATCGAAGATAGTTCGCAAAATAAAAATGATTGGCCAGCACTTCCGTCTTACCTAATAATTGCATTACGACATGATTATGACATTATGACTTATGTCAATTTTAAAGTGGATGCCTAAATATATTTGTGACATTACAACATTACAACATATCAAAGTCATAATAGTTTCTGCTGCACGTATAATAATTATAAGAAGATGTCAAGGCGACATGATAAACAACACATTTTATTGTTTGTTATACAAAATAATTTTGTATCATAACCACCACTATTTTACATACTGTATATTATTTTATTTTTTATCAATTATTTGAAAAACTTCCAATTCATCATATTTACTACGAGATACTATATTGATATTATTGTAAGTCACTGGCCTATAATAAACATTACCATCTCTACCAAAACAAATATCATTACCACTACCAAAAATTGGTAAATGGGAAGGGCTACACCAGATTGCATATTCACAATTATCATTGATAACATAACTAAGTTGTGCAGTATTGATATCATTTATATTAGTTATATTAAATATAAAACTTTCTGTTGTATTCTTACATAACAAACTATTTGCATCATTTGCATTCCAATCAAGTGGATTATAACCACCAATTATTTGCTCCGAGTTTTGTATTTTGCCAACTGCAAGAGTTTTGTTGATATTGTCACATTTTTGATGAAATGTAACTGCATTTAAATCATCTCTAGTACTACGATATAGAAGTTTGAATTCATATTTAACTTCACTGAATGAAGTGTATGGTGGACTTTTCCTA